TTTCCCAGTCTGTAGGCTGTCTTCCTGCTCTCTTGATGGTTTCTTTGGCTTTGCAGAAGCTTGTCAGTTTAATGAGGTCCCATTTGTCTATCTTATCCGTTATGGCCTGTGGGTTTCGAGTTTTGTTCAGGAATTGGATGCCAGTTCCAATTTCCATGAGGGTATGTCCTTCATTTTCTAAGGTTCTTATGGTTTGAGGTTTTACAATTAGGTCTCTGATCCATTTGGAGTTAATTTTTGTGTATGGGGATAGATAGGGGTACTGTTTCAATCTTCTGCATGTGGTCAGCCAGTTTTCCCAGCACCATTTACTGAATAGGTTCTCCTCTCCCCAGTGATAGGTGGTGGAGGGTTTGTCGAAGATGAGTTGGTTGAGAAATTGAGGCTTTACTTCTGGAATCTCAATTCTATTGCATTGATCTATATGCCTGTTCCTATACCAATACCAAGCTGTTTTGATGATTGTAGCTTTATTATTTGAAACTCTTGTGTGTCTTCTTTTTTCCTTCACTCTAATATTTAACTATTATTGTCTTTCTAAAAGAAAGCTAGGCCAGGCATGGTGGCTCAGACCTGTAATTCCAACATTTTGGGAGGCCGAGGTGGGAGGATCGCTTGAACCCAGGAGTTTGAGACCAGTATGGGCAACATAGTGAGACCATGTCTCTACAAAAAGTAAAAAAATTAGCCAAGTGTAGTGGCATGCACTTGTAGTCCCAGCTACTTGGGAGGCTGAAGCAGAAGGATCACTTGAACCCAGGAGTTAAAGGCTGCAGTGAGCTGTGATCATGCCACTGTTGCTCCAGCTTGGACAACAGAACGAGAAACTGACTCAAAATAAATAAATGAAAAGATAAATAAAAATAGAAGAGAGCTAACCCTAAATCGATTAAAATACAACTCATAAAAATATCATACTCAAAGTAAACATCACTGTTTCGAGATCTTTTGTTCTTCAATAAATTAGGACATATTAGCTTAGTGTGCCTTTATAAGCAAATGTCAGAACAGATTGTGCTTTCTTTCTAGAGACAAATTTTCTTTATTTTGACAAAAACCTGGTCTTCACACAATCTAATTGCTTTTATTGCATCTGGAATCATTTTAAGTTACCATGAAAACATTAATAACTCTAATTTTTAAAAAACTTTAAATCACAGAGTTAAAAGAAGAATTGAGTTTAGCACAATATTTCTTTGAGTAGCCCATTTACTGACACAGGCTTTGATTGATAGACAGCTGTGGTTTGTAAGATAGAAAAAGTGAGAACAATTGGTGATAATATAAATGTCAACAATTAGCTGAACATTCTAATTAATTCATAAAGCATTATTGATAAATATTATGTATTGGAATGTCATCTCTTTATTAAACCTTAGGCTAAGGAACTGTAACTTAAGACATATTTTAACTTTTTTCCTCCTAGTATTGTTGTGACACAAAACTTTTATTAGCTCATATTCAAAGCTGATTTTCAGAGGAGCAAGTTATAATAGAATTGAAATTTTAGCAAGTAAAATATTCTCTTAGGGTTATTGCTTGTTTGTGTGGAGAATTATTATCTTTTGACTCAAGATGTTTATCAATACAGAGCAATGATTTTTATCACATTCTCTCTGAAAAAGAAACAGCATAATGTCTTTAAGAGTCAGTTCACATGCTACTTGTGACAACAGTAGTCACCTTATCACTCGCTAAGTTGAAGTTTATAACATTATAGGATATCTTGGAAATCAAGTTTTCTCCTTATTGTGTTAAGTCCTATGCAGACAATAATGAATTATGTTCCACTTACATAATCAGGGTAACTTACTGTAATATAAACCAACCAATTTTTTAGGCTCAATGTCATTTAACATATTTTATTAGCCTTTGCTTTTTCTTTGATGTACTAAATGACAGGAAAAAAGCACTACTGTGCTATAAATTTCTCTTTCTTGCAGACTACTCCATTGAAAGCCATGTTTCCCATTTGCATTTATCCTCATTTCAGTCTCTTTTGGAATTCATCAGATTTATGCTTGTTCCCTGAAACCTGTAGCTTTCATTTCTATCACAAATGCCTTTTGAGAAATCTAATTTGACAAGTTGAATGTTCAGGATTCAGTTTTAAGATTAGAATTCAGTTTGAGTTTACTGTTATTAATATGCTTTGGAGGACTATACTTTTAAGTTAAAAACTGAATTTCCTTTCTACTGACAAGAATGCGAGAGTTCCTTTTTCCTTTTTGGTTCTGGAAGGTGTCATGTTGTTTCCCATTAAATATGTGAAGGCTGAGGTGAGAAATTCATTACTATAAAAATCTGTGCGAATACATCTTTTTCCTTCCTCACCCACCCTCTTCCCTACTGCTAGAATACTAACAGTGACTATAAGTAAGGTTAATTAAACTTTGGTCTTGATTTGTTTAAAACTCTAAAACTAATTCATTATCAAAAAGTAACAAAATATTTTCTACAGTAAATGTGTAAAACCTACAATATAGAAAATGGATATATGACTATATATCATTATATTGCATAAAATATTTTATTCATACTAAAAGTTGATAAGCACCAACAAATTGTCACACTGTATTGTCATTTTCCTTTTCATCCCCCCAGGGCTTCATTTTTAGACCCAATTTAATTTGATTTTTATTGAAGATAAATAATATTGGATTCTTTGTAAATTGTAGTGTTAGGGCCATAGAAAGCAGTAGATTATGGGGACAAGTGTGAGGATGGGAGCTTGGGTAGGGTTAAAAAAATGGCAATAGGTCAGACACCCAGAGAGTTAACTAAAGACACCAAGTATCAATTGGTTAGTTAGAAGGAGAATCCTTTCAAGGGAGGTGCAAATACAGTGGTCTAGAAATTATAAATGTCAATAATTTTACTGTCAGCATACCTCTTCAGACCCTAGTAAATGAAGACTCTGGTGTAGAAGTTACCTGCTACATAGGTCTAAATTCAACTCAGTTGGAGTCTGTCATGAATATAAACCATCAAGTCCCCAGTCCCGTGACTAGTCAACCCCAAGTATACCTTCTCAACATGGCCATATTTTCTAATACAGACTTATAGATCATTCCTTGCCTCTAAGAGAGTCAATCTTAATCTAACCTAACATTTACTAGAGTGTGTTCCAGATTCTCTGTTAAAGAAAGAGTTCCAGGATCTAATAAATTTGGAAGCCTATATATTATATCTTGTACTGTAAGCTACAATAATGATTTTTTTACCCTTTAGCTTTTTTGTTTGTTTGTTTATTTCATTCATTTAACAAATAATTATTGAATTCCTTCTGTGAGCCAAAAATCTACTAGATGCTAGGGACAGAATGTAGGACAAGGTAGATATATTCTATGCTCCTAGATCTTACAGGTGCCCCTGTGATGTTCATTGTTGTATGTAATGACAATAGTGTAGCATAGGCCAAGGAAGGGATTTCTGAGAAGTACTATCTATGCTAAAAACCTGAAGATCAAGTCCAACAAGCAAGGAACTTGCAGTTACAACAGCAATAATGATAACAATAAGCATCTAAAGCTAACATGTAGTTACACTCCTACTATCTGCCAGACACTGTGCGAGACACTTTCCAAGCATTCTATCAGTGATCCTCTTGGGTGGATTTTATTAATTACCCAAAATCACATGGTTAAAAAGTGGCAAGAGCCAGAATTTGAATCTTGATTGATCTGACTACAAAGTCCTCTTTCTAATACCCCATAACTGCCTCTCAAAATAATTAACTGATTTTGGTTATAGTTGTTTTGCTAAAACAAAAGCAATGATTTGAATGATATCTTAAGATTGTTTTTGTCATGTAGTATTTATTACTTTTTTTAAAAAATACATGCTCATTTTGTAGTTGTAATTGATTGTAGTGAAGTTTGGCATTAGGGTATAAGTTTCAAAAGTTTTAGATTCAAGGAGTATATATGCAGGTTTGTTCATTGGTATATTGAATGATGGTGAGGTTTGGGCTTCTATTAAGCCCATCACATAAGTGCTGAGCATCGTACCCAATGGGTAGTTTTTCAACCCTTTGCCCCCTCACTACCTTCCTCACTTCAGGAGTCCCCAGTGTCTGTTGTTCCCATCCTTATGCCTAGTGTATGCCCAGTGTTTTACTCCCACTTATAAGAGAAAGAAATAAAAGCTACTCACATTTTAAAAGTAGTTCCAATTCTCTGTGTGAAATGACCAAGCTGACCATAAGATTTTTCAGTTTTGAGATAGAATGTGTATATTGAGCCCCCTAAAAATGTCTGACCCTCCCTGTCACCTGCAACTTCTGTACACACATTTTTGGCAAGAAGATCCATAGGTGATATAAACCTCATATCTCATAATGTAAGGAGGCTCATAATATCAGGATAACTGACTGTTAATACTTTCCAAGATCCTGTTTCAAAGGAGGGTATGGTAAGTAGTAGACTTAAAGACAAAGTAGAGTATTAAAAATCAAATGAATTGCCCTAATCCTAGCAGAAATGTTCAAAATCCTGTGAAGTAACTCTTCAGTGTTGGTATATTACTTAGGCTGACTTTGGCATCTAGTGATGGCAGATTGGGCCTGAACATTCAATTCCTGGACTTGCCTTAATTGGCCACGTCAGCATGCCAATCATTACCCAATTTGCCATCAAAATTATTTTTAAGTAACATAAATATAATATATAAATATCTATTTTTAATTTCTCCTCTTCACCCTCAGAATACGATTTTGAGATGTGAAATGGCCACAAGATTATCAGAATCAAAAAGAGAAGTGAAGAGCCTGGATAATCCATAAGACTAGGTTAATCCCCAAAGCCTTGTAATGTATACTGTATTCAGTCTACAGAACAGTGTTGCTGAATGGAATTTCACTTACTATTTTTAATTTTCTAGAGAAAAGCAGAGTGATGAACAGAAATCCTTATTAAAGTGCTCTTGTGTTATTTTTTTTCCTGATTAAACATCAATTTATTTTCTTACTAACTGTAAAATGTAAACATGTTTAATTTTAGAGATACCACAGTACAAACTCTTACTCTTCAGCCTTCAGTTAAAGATGGACTTATTGTATATGAAGACTCACCTCTGGTTAGTAATATTTTCAAGTATGTTTTTTGAATGATAGTTGTATTTCAGTCTTTGGTGGGAGTGGAGAGGGGACATCTCTCATGAGTTCTACTATATTTCAGTCTAACTGGAAAGCACTCATTCCTGTGTCATTTTAAGAGTGGATATTTAAATGCAAATTATTGGGAAAACAACATGTTTTCTTATTCTACTCTTTTCTTTTCAGAATGACTGATTTAGGGAATGACAGAAATCCTCTATTGATTTCTTTTCTGTTTCACAGTTTTTAAAAAAATGTTTGCAGTTTTCAAATGTGTAAAGTTTAAAACTAGGTAAACTTTTCTAGAAAAGTTTGTTTAAATGGTTCTAAGGAATAAAATATTGGCCTAGTGTTTTGAGCAGCTGGGACGATTCAGTCTTCAGCTTCCCACACAAGACTGAAAGAAATCCCAGCCTGCCAGCCACAACCCTCTGCGCTAGTTACTCCTTTGAAGAAGTGACGCAAATAAGCCATCATGGGAACCTCTGTGGTCCAGACCCTGGGTATTGGAGTCTTTAGAATCTCCTTCCTGAATTTTCCCAGGTTGGGCTTGGCTTTCCTTGACCAAAGATGCGATTGAGGATAGAAGCTGCATGTTTCCTTTTAAAAAATTCAGTTTATTTTTACCCTAACATAAAAACAAAAATCTTACCAGTTTTTTAGAATGTAGCATAAAATAATATTGGTAGAAGGAATACTAATTTCTTTTTTTTTTTTTTTTTTGAGTTAGAGTCTCACTCTGTCACCCAGGCTGGAGTTCAGTGCCACACTCATGGCCACCCCAGCATCAACCTGCTGGGCTCCAGCAATCCTTCTGCCTCAGCCTTCCTACAGGCATGTGCTACCGTGCCCGGCTAATTTTTTATTTATTGTAGAGACAAGGTCTCACCAAGTTGCCCGGGCTGATCTCAAACCCACAGTCTCAGGTAATCCACTTGCCTCAGCCTCCCAAAGTGCTGGGATTACAGGCTGAGCCACTGAGCCCAACTGGAACACTAATTTTTTAAATCTATATTTTGTTAAAAAGACTTGCCAAAGCACTGCAATCAGAAAAATTTGTGATATGGTCCACTTCATGTTATGAGAGATTTCTTGCTATTTCAAAAAAATATTTAGGTTTACATTTAAATTCATTGCATATCTCCTTTTATCCACATCTCAAAAATGTTGAGTTTTTCCTAGCTTTTATCTTTCTTTCCATGATGTCACCATCCACTCAGTCACTGCAGACCTTAGTCTCATCTCTTCTCTTTCCTCTTCCTTCTGAGTAGTTGCCAAGAGTATAGATGTTACCTCTGTAAAACCCTTCAGATCAATCTAGTGCTTTTTCTTTTCATTTTTTCCCATAATGCCCTCCCCAAAAATCAGATTCTCAAACCACTTTTTTTCAAATGATTATAGTAATCCCCTTTTAGTCTATTCTGCATATTGCTGCCGGATTAAATATCCTAAAGTATAGCTCCAAGCTCCATTTCTGTCATATCTAAACATTTAATCTCATTATTTAATGAGGCAAGTTTCACATTTTTTGGTCTGGTAATCAAGTCCTTAGTAGTAAGAGACCTAATCTACCCTTGCAGTCCCTTTTCTCACGTTTAACCTTTACTTCAGCCAGCACAGATTATGCATACTCAGTCTTCCCCAAATATACCCCAGGATTTCTTGAGTTTGACCATTGATTCTTTTTATCTTGAATACCCAACTCTTCAGCAATATTCATTCTGATCTATTAAAATTGTGCACTCCTTTAAGATCCATAACAAATGCAGCATTCTAATATCTACACTTGATTATATCTCATCCTTCTTAACCTTCATGACACGTTAACTTTTCTATTTGTTATTCTTGTTTTCAATCTCCCCTACGGATTGTGAAATGTTGTTGCGTATTACTACCCTAGGGACAATTCTGATACTAAGGAGACATACAAAGATTACTGAAGAGTTAGCAGTTTAGTAACTAGGTGAAGCTTTACCGTAGAGATTCAAAAATTTTGTTTTCAGCTCTGCTACAGACTTTTTGTGTGTCTATAGAGTAGTGTACTCCTAACTTAAATAAAAATAGCTATTATAAATCCAAAACTGGGATGAAGTTTTTAATAATGATTGCTCTTATTTTGTTGTTTCTGATACATTTTCTGTGTTCAAAGGTTAAAGCAGTAAAGTTGGGTCATATTCTGGTGGTAGACGAGGCAGACAAAGCCCCAACAAATGTCACCTGTATTTTTAAAACTCTAGTAGAAAACGGAGAAATGATTCTAGCAGATGGAAGACGCATTGTTGCAAGTGAGTATTAAGAAAAAAGAAGTGTTTCCTTTAATGCGTGCAATTTTAACATCTCCAATATCAAATCACAAACTTAGCTGACTACTCATCTACAAGCAATAAGCATAAGTTCAATATAACCTAAATTGTCTGTATTGACAATTATTTAAAAAAATTAATGCATATGAATCTAGTTTTGTCAGTTTCACTTTTTTTATAGCATCTTTGTAAATTTCAATAGTAGTATTAGGACAAATTAACTTCAAATTTTTCACTTCTAAGAATACCAACAAATACTTGTACTTATACTCATCTCCATTTATTTATTTATTTATATTGCTATCTATAAGTTTTTAAAAACTCTTGTGTGTTTCTACTACAATACTAAAATTTATTTTATTATTAGGCTAGTATAATTAGAAAAAAATGCCCTACATTTTATTTTATATATACTTAGATATATGTATGTGAATACATGTGTGTGTGTATATATATATGTACATATATATGTATATATACACAAACACGCCTATCTTAGGAAGAAGTTATCCTCTGTTTTTGATTGTTTCCCCACTCCATGCTATTTGTTCTTGTTATTGTTAGGAAACAATGAAGATAGATGACTCTCATCAGTATATTTAGCCTACAAGGAAAAATTAAGTTTGTCTAATGCAATGTGAGAACATTTTCTAATTTCTAATTTTTGTGTCCTGAAAGGATTTGAAAATCTGTAACTAGCATTGAAAATATATAGCCAAAATATATTTGTAGGGTACTCAAACAAATTGAGGCTAATAACTAGACTCTTCAACATTGGAAGAGAGCATGTAAGGAAGACTCCATTTAAAAGGTGCAAGTGCATCATCACAGAGATCTTCTTGGACATTATCATTGCAAGATTGCCATTTCTGAGCCTAAACTCAGCACTAATAAAAGTATTCTAATATTTCTGTTTCACAATGGATTAATGAGAAAACTGAGAATTTGAGTTAGCCGGAATACTTGCTCTTAAAAAGGTAATTCAGACTCTTAGAATTAGAATTCTGTCTGCCCTTTTTAGAGGCAGTATGAGGACAGTGAAATTGAAAGGAAATAAAATTATAGTCAAGGAATAATCTCTGGTAACCCTCTACATTTTCTGATATGTTTTTGAGGGATAGTCATTATAATTTTTAAACTCAGTTATGATTGTAGATTTGTAGATGACATTTTATTTTATTATTTTGCTTTTTAGATTAGAAAAAAAAGTTTATTTAGAAAGTAGGTCAGAGAGAATGAAAGGGTGGATCTACCTCTCCAAGATTGGAGAGAGGGCCAGACACTTAAAGAAAGCACGGCTGTAGATAATGTTTTAAACAATAACACTTGAAGCTCTTCTGAACATAGTTTCATAAATCAAAACTTGTTTTTCATTTTCTTTGCTTTTTTAAATTTTTCATTCTCGTTATCATTTTTGTTTTAATTAGCTAATTAATTAAATTTTGCCTCTGGTCATATACTCTTGTTATTTGCTAGTACTCAAACTTAGGGGCATCAAATGTTAAAACTATTGGTTGTGTTAGTACATGCATATGTGTTACATTGAAAGATTACTTTATGGTGTCATAAAAAATTATAAGGGTAGGTTCTTACAGACACATCTATCTCAAAATAAAATTGCAGGTGCTGCACAACAAAATATCTTTACATGTTTTAAAAATGGACAACCTTAGCCTGGAGTTTACATAAATTCAGACAGCAAGTGGTTCTTCTTGAAATAGCCATATTAAAACTTTTACTATCTCAAATTATTGTCTGGAATTGTAGTTATCTGAAATGTACACCAGTTAGTAGATTGTAGTATTCAGTTCTTTTAATACCTTAAACATTTGCACAAAGAATGCCCCACTTATTGAGATCACATATTTTAAGAACTGTGGTAGAATTCCTTGACTGGAAATAAGTCAACATTGTGCTAATGAGTTGACTAGGTTTCAGGACCTTCATATTATGTGTTTAGGTTTTAGGTTGCAGGGATCGCTGCAGGAATAGTTCCTTACTGCATAATGGCAAGGTCTGTGCAAAACTACGGTTGCTGATTTGATAAAACTAAAGAATGTTTGAATTATCCCTTGGGTAGTCCTTGAATTATCCCTTGTTATGGATTTCTATCTTTCTTTAAACATTTTTTTAAGGAATAATAATGTCTCAAGATGGGTTTAAGTATTATAGGTCTGCATTTGGACAAGTTTGCTTTTTAGATGTATACTGAATCTACATAAAAGTGCAAATTCCTGAACAATTTAGTATATGCTCTATCAGTATCCTGTCCTTGAGCAAATGTTTTTGAGAAAGTATTTTCCTTCAACCAACCAAGTTATCACAGCCAAATATCTTAGACCTTTTTATAACTGAACAGTATGACTACTTACAAATATGTTATTTTAAAGACTGTTACTTGATATTCTTAAAAATTATTAAATATCAATAAAGACTAAATGCAAATTTTATTTTTCAGATTCTGCTAATGTGAATGGAAGAGAAAATGTTGTAGTGATCCATCCTGACTTTAGGATGATTGTTCTGGCCAACAGACCTGGATTTCCTTTCCTAGGCAATGATTTCTTCGGTACCTTAGGTATAAACAATAATAACAATGATGATAGCATAATAATATTAATATTAGTAACTGCTGTAATGGCTGTCATTGAATGTTTTCCTTGTACTGTGCCACCATTATAACCACCATATGAGAGTATTTGTTATCCCTCTGTTAGAGAAAAAGAATATCTGATATTCAGAGAGATTTATTATTATTATTATTATTATTACTATTAGAGTTAGATTCTCACTCTGTCACCCAGGTTGGAGTGCAATGGTGTGATCACAGCTCACCACAACCTCAACCTTCTGTGCTCAGGAGATCCTTCCACCTCAGTCTGCCAAGTATCTTGGATTACAGGCATGTGCCACCATGCCTAGCTAATTTTTTTATTTTTATTTTTGTAGAGATGAAGTCTGGCTATGTTGCCCAGGCCAGTCTCAAACTCTTGGACTCAAGCAATACTCCCACCTTTGCCTCCCAAAGCTCTGGGATTACAGGTGTGAGCCACCATGCTTGACTGAGATATTGTTTTTTGATGACCTGTTTAGTTAGTGAATAGTGGAGCTGGACTTCATGTCTAAGTTATTCTGATTCGAGAACCTTTTCTTTTTTTTAAACATTTACACTATGCTTTGTTGTTTAAGACCTCTTAAAATAAACACACAATAAAAATGGTTTTTAGTGTTGCTTTTGTCACATTATGTCCCTCTAGCCACTGAGGTCAGCTCCGA